TTTATATTGAGTTTTTTTTGTTTAGCACACCTTAGTCGAATGCTCGTGTGAGTTTTTCTGATCAAAATTTGTCCGTTGTCTGTCGGCGTCGTCGTCGTACATATTGTAGACGTCGTTGTTGTCGTCGTAAACTTTTCGCCTTTTCCTCTATTCTCAAAAACCACTGGGCCAATTTCAACCAAACTTGGCACAAAGTATTTATAGGTTAAGGGGATTCAAATTTGTTCAAATGAAGGGTCAAGCTCTTGTTCAAGAAAAGATAATTCAGAAATAGTGAAAATTTGGTGGTATGATTTAAAAAATCTTTTTCTCGAGTACCACTTTGCCAAGAAAGTTGAAACTTGTAGGGAAGCATCCTAAGGTAGTGTATATTCATTTTTTTTTTAAATCACGCCCCCGGGGGAAGGGCTGGGCCACAATGGCCGATCAAATGTTACATAGAAATATCTAGCAAAATTCTTTAAAAATCTTCTTCTCAAGAACCATTGTGCCCGGAAAGATAAAACTTATTTGGAAGCATTCTCGGGTAGTGTAAATTCAAATTTGTTCATATCATGATTCCCGGGGATAGGGTAGGGCCACAATGGCTGACCAAAGTTTTACATAGAAATAATTATATAGAAACATCCTTTAAAGATCCTCCTCTCAAGAATAGCATTTACATTTATATGGAAGCACTCTTAGGAATTGTACCTGTACCTGTAGATTGAAGTTTGTTCAAATCATATCCTCTGGGGGAAGGGCGGGGTTACAATATGGAATCCAAGTTTTACATAGAAATATGTAGAACCATCCTCTAAAAATCTTCTTTTCAAGAATACCAAAGCCATTATTAGTCATATTCATATAGAAGCATTCTTAGGTAGTGTAGATTCAAGTTTGTTCAAGTCATGCCCCCCCCCCCTCCGAACCCCTAGGGGGGCACAATGTAAGCTCAAATGTAACGGACAATAAAGCCACATGTAGTCAAAGAAATGTGCAAGCATCCTTATTTAGTGTAGATTCATGTTTGTTCAAACCATACCCTCCTTTAAGGATGAATAATAATAATGGGAACAGCAATGGGTGTAAATTTTCAATAATGAACTCATTTTTGCTTTTTCTAAAGCTACCGTGCTCAGTTAAGCAATATGGCATATTGGCCTCTTGTTACTATATGGTACGTGACATTTACCCCCAAGAGAAATAATCAAACACAACAAACATATAGTTATAAGTGAAGAAATATCTCTGTTGTTTACTTCCACAGAGAAAATACATGTAAATAATATATTCAGTTACTTTATATTGGCCTCTTTTAAATGTAAAAAATACTTGGATTAATAACAAATTGTGTAATATACTGTGAGTTTCTATTTTTTTTAAATTTAGATCTAAGGGCAGATTACTCTAACTGCAGAAATCTACCATACAATCAGAACTCTTTTCTAGCAGTGTAGAGAGGGTTCTTAAACAATATATTGATATGAAAAAGGATATGGAGATAACGAACAGTACTCAATCTCATTGTCCATAAAACAATACAAAATAAGAGCAGAGCAAACAAGACCCCCAAAACATTAGAGGTGGGATCAGGTGCATCCCCTGCCGACCGGTCACACCCGCCGTCTGATCCATGTCATGATCAGGAAAGAACGAAAAAATCCGTCGTCAATTCAGTGAATAAATAATGGACTCACAAATGGTATGAAAAAAAATATGAAAAAAGGTAGTCAGCATTTGAATCAGTGATAAATTGTATTTGCTGACACGGTCATTGTATCGACCATAGAACTTACGAAATGATAACTTTTAACAAAACTGCTGATATTCTTGTTTCATCAGCTTGCTTGACAATAATTTACCTCGTTTTAGAAATTGTTCATACGTAGAGCATGCTCTTGCGTATTGAAGCAACTGAGATATATATACTCCGTATGAAGGATGATGAAGGTAAATTGCTGCATAAATAAGGGAAGTTGACGATAGAAAAGTTAAAGTCATCACTTTTATCATATAGCTTGGTTGTCAGATTACCATTAGTGGCTTTCTCAAGTAAAATATCCAAGTATAAAACAAATGTGTCGGAATCTATGGTACTTTTTATCTCTAGCTTACAAGGATATATTGTATCGACTTAGGAATGGAAATCACCATTATTAATTGGCAATACGTCGTCGATATATCTGAATGTCGAGTTGTAGGCCAATGCCAGTGTTTTCTTCTTTTCACGCATAAGATTTTGCATAAATTCTGCTTCATATGAATATAAAAAATAAGTCTGCTAATAATGGAGCGCAATTTGTACCTATAGGAATTCCAATGGATTGTTAGAATACCTGGTCTCCAAAAACCACATAGATATTGTCAATCAGAAACTCAAGCATCTTCTTGATGCCAACTTTAGAGTAGTTACCCCGGTATATCTACCATAATTTCTAATTTATTTGTAAAACATTTATGATTAAGCAAGAAAGTGCAAAATCAACATAATATTTTTGCATAGATTTAGAGCATTAAAACAACGACATTACTTATTTGTGTTAATTAAAAAAATTAAAATAGCTTCCGGTCAAACAGGACGGAAGACCTACTCGTTGCGTTGCAACGATATTTGCTCTAATTTTCATTCCATTTTCATAAGACACTTGATTTATCGAAAACTTCTTAACTAATTTTATTTCTTTTTTTGTGAATATCTCTAGACCATTCTTTTCCTTTTCTGAAAAATAACATTTTTTGTCCTTTTTTTCAAATTGTAATTTTTTCCACGCATCTTCTTGTAAACCACTCAAGATTTAATCTCGATATTTTCAGAGATGATAAAACATCTCTTTGATTTATGCATAACGTCTTTTGATTTTGCATCGTTTACTTTTGGTTGACACAGGAATTCAAGTTTAATTTCAAGATATTTGGAACATTTTAACTGTTTTGAATAAAAGCAAATAGAAATTTAGTTCACAATCATTTACAAAAAGGATCTATTTGTAGTGCTTCCGGTATACAAAAAAAATCAACTTTTTCTCTTGAATTAAAAGAAAATAGAATAAAATTGGTTTAAATTGAGGTTTTATAAGTTTATTCTGGCCTTGTAACTTTAATTTTAACCGGAAATGATGCCTGAATTGTCAAAAGTCGTCAAATGACGTCACTTCGAATTACGGTCAGTATAAAAGTAGTCAGAAAATGCAAATTTTTGCCTTTGTTGACATGTTATTGATTAATTTATGGCACAAGAAAGTCAAACATAATTTTCCAAAATGTTTCAACATCTTTCCCGGTCAAACCGGAAAGAGATTATTTTGCAGTTACGACGAAAAATTAAAATTATGAAGCCATTGGGGAGGTCGTACATTGTAAGTGGACCGACTGGAGTTTTATTGTGTGAAAAATACAGTAGCGAAATGCTTAATTTTATACCATATATAACCTACATTAACTTCACTGAACATGCAAAGTTTGGGGGAAATCTACCGTCCAGGTATTCTTAAGGGACCGTCCAGGTAATTTCAAGGGACCGTCTCGAAATAATTGTACATTTTCTATAGAATTATATAGAGAATGGCCATTTTTTAGCACTCTAATGCAAATTTTACAAATACGACGATAGACTTTTTGTTCAAACTATAATATTTCAAGAGTAATACTATATTGTACATTATATATAAGAAACACCAAAAATCTACGGTCTTGGTACCAGAGGGGGCATCTAATAATGCCAAATATTAACGGATATCCCTGTTTTTATAGAGTTTTACAAAATAAGATGCATACTAATGAATTACACAAAAAATAAAAAATATGATGGAACAATTATTGAATTTTTTTTTAAATTTCAAGAGCATATACGTCTCGTATTAATGCAAATTTTCTTTCATAACATCTTTATTACCCCTTCTTTAAGAGCGTTACGTTATCTAACGTCAAAAACTCAGGATTACGACGTCAATCTACAAATCAATTATCAGATCATTTTAAAAACCAGTTATTTAAAATTGTAATAAAAAAAATTTCAACTTGTAATTTCATAATTTTGTTTAGTTGTATAAATCAAACGAAAAGAAAAGTTGCTTTAAACAGTAAATACGCTACATTTTACTATAATGTGCGAAATATTGCGCAATGGAAACTACAGTTAGCCCCCTTAAATCAGTGCTTTCTCAAAAAGAAAACCTAAAGAAGAAAACTTTTCTTGTCAGGTAAATCGATCTAACAATTCAGCTGTCTATGCAGTACTGACGAAGTAAAAACTATACCATTTCGTTATGTTTGATCTGGAAACGGTTAAGTTAATAAAATCTTTTGAAGTGAAAGCCATCTGTAATTCAGGCCTGACCTTAAAAACGTAGGCCCCGTGTCACGGTAGGCGTTGACCCGATAAATAACCCTCACTGCTCAATGGCCCTGAGTGCCAAGTTTAGGTTTAAAGTTTAAGCCCTTCACCGGTATATGTAGACGTGTCCATATGAGTAAAAAAATTTCGAGGGGACGTTAATCAATATACAACCAATCAATCAAAACAAAATACATTTGACAATCTAATCTTTAATTATTTGATTTATTGCAATCCTGTTTACACAAAAAGTGATTTTTATCATCTTCATTATATAGCCTGGTTTAAAAAGACACTGTTTCTCAGTAAATATTTTTTTTTATCTTTTTTCGCCATGCACTACAGTATAACGTAAAAAAAGAAAGAACATTTAATCTTTATCCCATTGTTTTGTACAGAAACAATTATTCTTCATATTTTTGTATCTCTTTTTCATCGGATATGAAATTTTAACAGAATGATTTTTATTCAAAGAAAACCCTCCGCCAATTGAATACACAAAATATGATGTTTGAGAAGAACATAGAATAAGAGGATAAAGTGTTTGTTATTGCACATGTTATCTTTTTGTGTATTCAAATGATCAAATCCTTTAACGAACCAAGGGCATTACTGTAGATTTGACAAAACATGTAGTGGTTTCTACAACTGACGGTGTATGAGCAGGGAGATTTTGTTACATCTATTCATCATTTACTATTTCCATTAGACATATTTAAAAAAAAAAACAGAAATTATTTTAAAGAACTGCAATCCAAGCAGAATGAACTACCGATATATCAATTAAGAAGACTATATTAAATAGACTAAATGTTTGTTGATATAGCACCTGTTATCTTCTATTTTCATATTCGTCCTGATACTTCAGTAATGATCTCGAAAGAGTTCTTCCCATTATTCCCCCTCTTAAATGGTAGTCCCTGCTTCTTCTTCTTTCAAGGTTGGTCTGCTCTCCTTGATTTGAACTGCTTGTCCTTCTGTCTATCCATCTATTTCTACTGTAGTCATATCGCTGATTATAATTTGTTACCTCACTAAATACGGATCTATGATGTCCATATCTGTCATTTCGTCGGTATCTTGTTTGCTCGTCATTTGTTCTAATTCGATGTAAAGTGTTTTGTCTGTACTGATGGTATAATTCACGAGTGTTTATTGGATTGTAGTCAGTGGACTTTCGTTTTGACTTTGGTGAAGCGGCTTCATCTGAAGATGCGTCTGAATAATATCTCGTTCCTACGGAAATACATATTTTACAGAATTAATATACAAAGTACACATATTAGCAAAAAGGTACTATTAGTTTGAACAATGTAAAATATATGGTCACCTTAAGATTTTTTCCTTTTATAAAAAAAATAGATAAATGAACAAAAAATATTTTCTTACGTACAATGTATAAGTTTGATGGATAGTATATTAAAAAAAATATTTTCAATAAAAGAAATGGACCTTTTATTTAAATTTGGAAATCAAATCTTGTATTTGAAAGTCATTCACAGGAAAACCGAAAATCAGAAGAGATAGAAAGTGAAATAGGTCTGAAAATGTTTGAGAAGAAAAATAAACAAGAAAATTAAAAGATTGTAAAGAATTATTAAAGAACCTGAACTTTCTACAAACCTGTTTCTTGTAAACGTTCAATTTGTCTTAAGTATTCGTTTTCCTCCTCTTGTCGATCATATTCCGGTATTTCTTGCATTTCCTGATTTTCCTCTTTTGCAAGCTCATAAGTTTCATGAATGCTTGAATGAAGATCTGGTTTCACATTTCTTTTAAAAGGATTTGGAAGTTCTGTGATGGCAACAAGATGCAAAAATGTACCCCATCTAGAATGAAAATTAACCATTAGAAAAACTTTGAAATAAACAAGACACACAGAGAGATGATTCAGCTGTAATGACAAACAAACACAAAAAGAAGAAAGTCACAATCATTAGAAATAAAGAAATAGGAATATTACATTGTTACTTTTGTATGTAAGCTGTCTTTATGACTGACTTTACATGTACCAATTAAAAATAATGATATGATAGCTGTTAGTATTGATAATGTCTCTTGCTTTACTGTGTTTAGGATATCTCTCGCCAAAATGTTTTCACTCCCTTAGCAAAACAGGTGTGCGAGTTTAAAACAAGTTGAAATCATAGAACATAGTATAATTTCTCTGACTTGCAAAAAAATCTGCTTATACGGTTTAACAAGAGAGTAAAAATAACCCTGTTTATTATTATTATGCGTATCCTATTATGTGATCTTAAATGCTAAAAATATATACAGTTCACTTCATATGAAAATGATGCACAAACAAAAGTTATATATTGGTAAGGATGGGGCTAATAGCCGTAACTAGTGGGCGCTGAAAAATAAAACCCTAAAATCCTTAACACACATGAATTTACACAAAAAATGGATACAAATAAAACAAACTTGTAGATATTTAGGTCATATTAATTAATTTAAATGCATAAATAGATTTTTTTCATTATCAAGCCTGTGTCATGATATATGTACCTGTGCATAATCATGCCACAAAACTGTATCATAAGAATGATAAGGAAAAACCCAATAAACAGCAGACCCAGGAGTTCAATTCTCATCTCGTAATTCTCAGCTTCGTCATCCTCGGTGTTTATCTGTAATGAAAGGAAATAGATTGATATAAGTTTGTATACGAATTATCAGATACACTTGATATATTCTTATTATGTGATTAATTTATTTTAAATTAAGTATGCTCGAACAGCAAAGAGATATCAATGACAACAAGAAATTTAAATGACGAAGGGAAAGGAATACTGATTTTTAATTCCTTTTGACATTTTCAAACTGAAATAAAAAAAAAAATGAAGGTCCTGTAAACATATTCATTCAGATGGAAATATAATGCTTATGAATTGAAATATAAAGCATATAACACTTACTGGGAGTTTAAAAGTTATCACAGCAGGACTCCGTAACTGAAACATGAAGTTCACAGCAATCCACAGTAAATTTATAAGAGCCATCCCTCCACAAACATTATTCCTTAACTCCCTCAATTGTTCTTTAACTTTATTTTCCTTTTCAGGGTCTCTTTCCAAAGGTTTAAGGTATCTAAAATTAAAATATGTTAATCTGTACGTTTTTTTAAAATGAATTTCAAAGTACCATATTAAATTAATACCTGTTATCATAGACAATTAGTGTTTTTTTTTCTGTGTTTCATGAAGGTATGTCAGAAAAAAACAAGATATAATAATTAGAGAAATAATATGATAAAAAACACATGCATTATGGTTGCATTCTATTTAAGGAATATTAATTGCAGATATTTAAAAGTACCTGTCAACAAATGATTTCCAAAATTCACTTTCTTTTTCCTTCATTTTAACGTATCTTCCCGTAAAAGGACCTTTGTTCACCCAGTTTGGTTCTTCTTCTTTAAATATCTGTTTAAATAATTAACAATTAAGGCATTATATTTCATTGCACTCGTTGATCATGTCATCTGTTTAGTGAAATATTCTAATGACATTTCATGTTACGAAAAAAATATTCTCATACCTTTTCCATAAATACTTTTTCTGAACCTCCTTTAGTCTGTTCCTGTGAATGGTTACCCTGAATTGGTGTTGCCTCTGTAACTATCTCCTCTAAATGTTCATTCTCTGCTCGATTAATTGCAGAATCCTTACGAAACCCAACCATGTCGGTCATTGTGGCCAATATCTTAAGGAGGACGTCCTTTTCTGAGGGATTTGGTTGGAATAAATTTTCTTTTATCTTTGTTAAGGGGGATAATATTTTGTACAATAATCCTTTATTTTCTTTCTCCTTCTCTTTCGCTGTACCACTCTCTCGCGTTCCCCATGAAATATCATTCAAATTGCACAAAGAATAAATGACTAGAAGTAAGAACCCCGACGGAACAAGTATATAGTAAAGCAATCCGTATATGATATTGCCCCATTCCCTTGGATGAAGTAAAGCGGCAATTATGAAAATAGCTACGAGTCCCATGATGAATATGACGCTGGGATGATATGGAGATTCTGTCACCGCTGTAATTATAACGCCGACGAAAACGACCATCATAATTAAAACGTAAAATCCGCTGAGGATTTGAGCTATCACTAGCTGAACATTTAATCGAAATGTGAGACATATGATGAAATATGCAACAGCCGGAAGTAAGGAGGCGATATATGACATCATAAGATCCAAACCAAATACAGCAACAAAAGCGCCGGCAATCATCATAAGAATTGTTGCTGGACCTATAAGTGTCGCAACCATCAATGAACCTGAAATAAGCAAAAAAAAAATAAAATAAATAAATAATGAATGAAATCGTGTATTTTTTTTCATTGAAAAATAAATATAATCTTTACTGACATTGGGGATTTTCTTGGCATTGTTACCCAAGACATTTATCCGTTTAATCTAACACATAAACAAGAAATCGACAAAATGTCTTCCAGCAAATAAGCGAAATTTCCTCTATCCTATCGAACATTGAAACCCATAATTCAATTTTTCCACAAAACTTGTAAACAAGTTTTTTTCTTCATTAAACGTTATGTAGCCTTGGCCATTCATAATTTTTTTAGTTAAATATGTAAAATTGGATTGGAACCATTAAATATTAGTTTTGAGGATGAAAGAGTGAGACAAACCTTGATAGGCCATATAAAGCCAACTTATATTCGGATTAGCCTCTACTGTATTTTTGCCATCTTGCAGTAGAGCCATAATATTGGCAAGCGTGGAGGGTGTCCATCTTTTCCTTTGGTTGAAATATTCATTAAAGCTCTCTGGGGCATAAGTATATGCATCAGCACCGGCAGCATAGTCAACTCTGTATCCTTGTTGTAAAAGCAGAGTACAGAGCCAGCGATCTTCCCCTGGAATAAAGAAGAATGGACTCAAATGTACTGTTTTTTTTTCAATCAACATTTTTTTCTTTCATATCGGGATTGCTGTTTAATTTTACTTCCAAAATTCACCTAAGTAAAAACGACTTATCTTATATTTAACGAAACCTTTTTTTTTCAATCATATGTCTGAAACTGTATATTGAACTGTGGGTTCAACTATAATGATTAAGAATAAGCCCCATCTTATGCATAAAATGGTCCTGTACTTCTATCAATTAATTAACTATCACACTCTTTCCTATTTCATTTATCAAAATGAAGTAGACACTTGGTGCTTTCATTTTCTATTTAAAAAATTCCGTTTTGAGAATCCAGATATTGGAAAACAGGTTTGAATAATCGTATTGTTCTTGAAATTTGCAGATAACACGCCTATTTGACTACCTTCAGCAAAGAATTAAAATATTAGCACAGCCCACGATCCAAAACATAAAACATGTTTTTTGATCTTCAGAAACAGAGCTTTCATTATGTATTCGCATATTTTGGATCAGAAGTTGTGCTCTATATGAAATATTGAAAAAATGCTTCAACTTTAAGTCATTTTAAAAGGAAAATACAGGATTAGGGGAAAATGACGCACTTTATGACGTCATAATGAATTGACTAGATGGGAAATTACCTCACGATTAACAGATAAGTGATTACATGTACCAACATTCCAAGTGATAAAAACTGCATTTGCAGTTTTAATTTTTCAGAAATTCTCAGGGCCAAATAAGGACCAAAGTGGCTCTTGCTCTTTGTTTTCTATTTCAACATACCTAGATCGTACATCAATATCTGAGAGGCTTCTGATGGTAGATGTGTATATTTCTTCATAACATTATCATCCATAAGAGCTGATCCTCGAAAAAGACTGAAACAGCCAGGGGAACACAAAACGCACCCAAGTACATGCTCCGTAGCTTTCTGAAGCCAATGCGCCACTGCATATTCAAATTTCTGATACCAGACAATCGGACCTATGTAATAGAGGATAAAATGATATAATGCAATGTTATGCATAGTGTAAAATACCAAATTGCTAATGAAAATGAGAAGATATATCAAGTACCAC